TGAAGGTCAACGCTGGCTGACCTTTGCAGCTGCAGAAGAGGACGCTTCTGCCATCCAGGACCAGAACCAGCGGGAAGTTCATCACAAGGGAAACCTGTGCTTGTTCATAAGTCAGGGGCGTGTCCTCTGGCAGAGCCGTCAGTGTGCAGCTGATGCCATTACAGGCATTTCCCCAGGGAGGAAGAAAGTGTCCCAGAGAAGATGACGCCCAGCAAGTTGTGGTCCTCTCTCCACAGTCTGGTGGAAGAAGGCTGCCATCAGGCTGCTTTCCGGGCTCAAGTCTAGGGTCCCTTTGATCATGGCTTGCTCCATTTAAAGGCTGTTACTTCAGAGACAAGCACAGCTGCAGCATAGGGCACTCAACCTCAACCAGAATTCCTACTATCTCAGGGCCAGAATATCCCCTTTCTCCACTCTGCTCAGCAGGTATGCATATGAAGTGCACTGGATTCATAAACCCAGTCCATCGCTCACCAATTGTACTGACTCAGGACTTTGTCTTCTCACTGACTGAAGGTGAGAATCACCCATTTATTCTTGAGTTAAAAATTATGTTTTACTCTTACAAGGGAAGTCATTGTTGAAGCCTCAGCTGATCATCCCTAGCAAGGTTTTTAAAAGAAAACATAAGAGCACAAAATCATGCCACCACGGAGTCTCTTCTTCTAATTCTCTCTCAAGTTTTTGCTTGGATTATTAGTCTACTTCACGAGAGCTAAAATGCCACATTTGTATGAGTCGAGTCTATGAACAATTTAATTTCCTGCCTCCCTGCCAGGAAAAAAGAAAGCTTGTAAAATAAGTTATCAAGTACAGCTCAAAGGCTTAACTATAATCACAGCTTTCTTAATCAGAGGTTCTTGACAAGACTCCCACATCTGATCCTAAGATAGCCCATTGTTCTTTGTTTGAGATGGAGAAGATACGAGTAAGTCTCTTGGCATCTACCAGATGAAAACTGTATATTTAAGATTTGGAAGAGTGGCAAAGGGAGCCAAGGTGGAAGTTTATATAGCACTGGGATTAAAGGTTGGAACTCTGAGCCAGACTCCCAGGATTAACCCTAGCCCTGTCACTTCCTGATTGGCTCTCTGTTCCTCCAACCTGCTTCTCCTCTTCTTGGGCATACTACATACATGCAGCCACATGATGAGTTCTAGCCAATAGAACATGAGCAGGAGTGACGGGCACCACTTCCAGAACTGGCCTGTAAACACTGCTGTGTCTAACTCTCCTTGCTCTTTCCGCATTTGCCAGTTTATGAAGGTAAACACCATATAATAGGCAGAATAATGGGGCTGCCAAAGAAGCCCACGTCCTAATCCCCAGAACCTTAGAACGTTAGATTACATGGCAAAGGTTGCAGATGGAATTAAGGTGGCTAATCAGCTGACTTTAAAATAGGGAGATGAACCTGGATTATCTGAGTGGGCGCAATATAATCAATGGATCTTTAAAAGCTGAAGAATGAATGAGACAAATAAGGAAATACAGGTCTTCCTCAATTTACAGTGGGGTTACATCCTGATAAACCCATTGCAAGTTGAAAATATTGTAAGTCAAAAGTATACTGAATACACCTAACCTATGGAGCATCATACCTTAAGTGTGATCTACTTAAATATGCTCAGAACATTTCCATTAGACTAACAGTGGGGCAAAACCATCTAACACAAAGCCTATTTTATAATAAAGTATTGATTATCTCATATAATTTGTTGAATACTATACTGAGAGTGAAAAGCAGAATGGCTGTCTGGGCACAGAATGGTGGTAAGAGTATCAGCTGTTGACCTTTGTGACCTCGTGGCTAACTGGGAGCTGTGACTAGCTGCCCCAATCCAGCATCATGAGAGAATATCGTCTGCACATCACTAGCCTGGGAAAAGTTCAAAATTCAGAATTTGAAGTATGATTTCTACTGAATGGGTATTGCTTTTGCACCATTGTGAAGTTGAGAAATCATAGGTCAAACCACCGTTAAGTCAAGGATCATCTGTACTTATGATGATTTTCTCACTTGAATAAATGTGTGCATAAGTCTGAGTTAAG